GGTGGCCCCGCCACCGCCGCCGCCGCTGCCGCTGCTACTCCTGCGGAACAGGCTGGTCATCTTGTGGAGCCGCTGTGGGAGAATGTTTCTGACAAGCTAAGAAACCGCAGGCCGGGGATCCCTCTGTCAGCCACTTGCTTGCTCCACAGGCTCAGAAGACTTACTCCTGTGCTTCCTACGTCCACAACGACGCCTGTCGGGAATGCACGGTCCAGGCTAGGGGACAGGGGCCGGGGTGGCGGCGGCATGCGGACCTTGGCCAGGCTGTGGCTGTACCGCAGATCATCCACATCCTCAAGTCATCCTGCCACAGGGGGCTGCAACTGTGCCGATGGCGTAACCTGAAAAGAGGGACAGAGTCAGAAGTAGAAGCAAACATACTTGAAGTCTTTGATGGTGGGCTGTTAGGAAACGAAGTGCCACCTACCCAGCCGAGGGAGACCTGCTTCTCTCTGTTCTCTCTCTAGCTCTCATATCTAGCCTAGTTTGGGTGCTAGGAAAGAGCCCAGGTCTTTGTGCATACTAAGCATGCTAACAGGTAAATAAATAAGTCTATGAAAAAATATATATGTATTCTTTCCTATTCATTTCTTTGTTTTATTTTTAATTTTTGTTATTTTGAGATAGGGTCTCATCTAGCCCATATTGGCTTCAAACTTGACGTGTGGCTGAGGCTGGTCTTGAACTCTTCTTACTCCCCCTGTCTCTCCTTTCACTATCCTGCCTCAGACTCCTGAGGGCTGGGATTACAGGGACATATACCATCATATTCGGCTTCCCGAAACTGTCTTGAGGAACCCTATGTGTCTAGGTTTTCTCCATACTCCATCTCAAACCGAGCTCCCTGATGGAGTCAACCTAGCTGGCACCCAAGGTTAGCACGAGGGTATGCACAGACAGGTTTGAAAGTCAAGCATGCTTAGGAACTGTAGTCTACAACAGCACACCACCTAGCCCTCTCCACAGAGCACTGAGATGGTCAACAAGGTGATGTCACTGTTAGTGCAGGCAAAGGCGGGAGCACAGTGTCTGAAATCCCTTGGTAAGGGGCTGAGGATGCAGCCCGCGGGTGGAGTGCTTGCCTGGCATGCATAAAGCCCCTCAGTTCAGTCCCTGCCACTGAATACCTGGCCTGGTGGAGAATGTATGTAATCCCAGCACTTGGGAGGCACTGACCAGAGGATTGGGAGTTTTTGGTCAGCCTGAACTAGAGAACTCGTCTCCCAAAACCAAAACCTGCAGCCAGTGAGATGACTCAGTGGGTAAAAGGCTCGTCACCAAGTCTGGTGACCTCAGTTTAATCCCTGGGACCTCTGTGATAGAAGGAGACAATTGACTCCCACAAATTGTTCTCTGACCAACCCCCCACACACACACACACAGACACACACAAATCTGGCTCTGACTTTCTCCATCTTATCCCAAGATCAAGTCCAGCAGCTTGTAGGAAGGTCGCAAAGTCTCACTCTGCATCCCTGCTGACCTCAGGCTCATGATTCCACTGCCTCTGCTCCCCAGTACAGTGCTACCGCATGCAGCTCCTCTAAAGGTACTCTCGAGCTTGAGGAGCCAAATGCAAGCCTCTTCTCTGCTCTCCAGGATGGGAGCCAGGGCTTTGACCCGGATGGAGAAACTGTCACGTGAGCAAATCCTCGTCATACTCAGAGAGCGGACACACACTGACTGTTATGAGGGAAAGACAGGATCAGAGGGGAATAGGCAAGGTGCAGTAGCGGGGGCCACCCCACTTGGGATGGGAAGACCATCAGTGCCATTAATGTTACTACTTCAGGTCAGATCTCATACTCTGGAAGTGGCTTCAAGTACCTACCACACTGAGTTCCAAACACCTTGCACCCTCTCTTTCCTCAAGAGGATATGAACATTCTTAAGGAGCCCTATTCTGCTGTCTTCCTATTTCCAGAGAGGTGAATTAAGTACGATTTTTTTAAAAAAAATTAAATTATAGTTGTTTTGTGGTGGGGGTGCACACGTGTGCTATAGCACACATGCAGAGGTCCGAGGACCAACTTGTGGAATTAGTTAGCTTTCTCCTTCCATCCTGTGGGCCCTGAGCGCAAACTCAACTCAATCTTGTCTGTAAGTGCCTTCACCTGCTGAGCCATCTTGCTAGCTTTTTGTCTATTTGACTTTTGTTGTTATGGTTGTTGTTGGTTGGTTGGTTGGTTGGTTGGTTTTTTGTTTTTTTTGTTTTTTTGTTTTTTTTTGAGACAAGGTTTCTCTAGCTTTGGCTGTCCTGGCACTCACTCTGTAGACCAGGCTGGGCTTGAACTCATAGAGGTCTGCCTGCCTCTGCCTCCTAGTGCTGGGCACATGCCGCCACCACCCGGCTCCATTTGTTTTTAAAGACAGGGTCATGTATCCAGGCTAGCCTTGAACTTACTATGTAGTTAAGGATGGTCTCAAACTCCTGAGCCATGTCCCACTATGCCCAGCTAGGAGATGAATTCGGAAGTGAAAAATTACAGGCACGCAGGTTCTGAATAGCTAGCGGACACTGGAGTCCCTTTCTGCCCTGAGAGAACTTACTTAATGAGATCATGTGCCCACATCTTATGTAGGTATCTGATCCTTGTACATGCTATCATGCATGAACTTGTTTTACCATGTGATTAAACCATAAATTCCACTATGCCATTACTTTTATTTACTTAATGGCACATTGTAGGCATCTTCCCACATCAGAACACACAGACCCACCTCATCATGTTACATGATTGAGCACTGGCTGGTCAACTGAGAGAACCATGATTTACCACCCCACTCTCTTTACTTCCTGGCTGCCCAGAAGAGCGAGTCATAGCCAGGGAGGCCAAAGCCATGACACAAGGAGAAAGAAGGGTGGCCTCGGGTGTTCAGTCTGGGGATTTGGTTATGAGGATGAGCCCAAGACAATTGCCACATATGTGTGGCTTCCTGCTGCAACACCCAAGCCCCCCTCCTTTACTGCCCTCCCCTCCAATAGGAGGTCTGAGGCAGCTCGGTGGTTCCATTAGGAGTGCTCCACTCTGGGGACCTGCACTGAGGCCTCTAACCTCTGGGCCTCCAGGCCCCAGAAGCCAAGACTCTGATGTTGTTACACATAGGGTCAGAGGCTCTGGTTAAGGCCCTTGAGAGTATGGCCACCATCTCCCCGCCCTAATGTAATTCAGTTGAAAGATTAGAGGCCAGGCTTGTCACCCTGCCAAGGGCAACTCCATGAAGAAAGAAGCCAGGATCTGGTCCACAAAGAGAAAAGAAGAAAAAAGATGAGTTTACATCCATTCTATGAACTCCTTCTCACAGGTCCCATGGGTGCTGGGTCTCTGAGTGTTGAGACATCCTGTAAGGGGAATCAACTGTAGGCTCTCCTGTGGGAATGTCTGTCCCTTTTTCTGTGCAAAGAAGACAAACTGGCTCTCAGCCTGTGCCATAATGTGGTAGTCTGCTCTATGAGGCTGAAGTAGGGGTGCATGGCTACACTGGCCCATTGGGGGAGGGAGGCTATGAGGGTTCTCTCCCAGTCCCTGGCTATCAACCCAAGAATCCCTCCAGATCACTGAAGGATAAACGGATTCTCCTAGCACAGGCCAGCTCCTGAAGCCTAGGCAGCAAGAGACACCCTAGTTCAGGTGACCACCTAAAACTGTCCCCCCAACTGTACCCTCCAAATACAGTTGAAGAGTAGCTCAAGAACATGGAACGAGCAACAGAAAAGCCTAGATCTTTCCACCGAAGCAGCTCTGTGGGTTTGGAGAAAGTGGTTCAGAAATAGGAAGCCAGGGAAATAGGATCTGATAGACAGCCAAGACTCAGAGATGACTGGCAGTCAGGCTGTTAGGACTAGCACCACATAGGGTCTAGGTTTTCAGAGGATTGTCCTCTCTGCTTCTTGTTAAACTTAAGACAGCCTGAGACAGGGCTGAGGTAGCAGCCTGGGGAAAGAACATCAGATCAGGCTGCCTTTTGTAGTAAACCCTGCTCAAATGAAAGCAGTTTAAAACTCACGGGTGTATGGAGGCACGCAGACCACCCCCGGGTCATGAACTTGTGAGGGGCACTTTTGTACGTCACCTTTGTCAAAGCCCCTTTTATCTTTATTACAATTCTCCAGTCCTACCCTTTTATAATTCTCCAATTCCTACCATTTTATAATGGCAGGAACGAGTTCAGAGAAGTCAAGTAACTTGCCCTAAACCACACAGCTAGTGGGTAGGAAGAAAAACCAGAATTAGCATCCCACCTCCAAAGAACTAAAATGCCAAGTAAGGCTTGCAGGGCTACGCGCCAAGGAGCCTGAGAAATGCAGCCACGTGTGCCCAGGCTTAGGACATTCCATCAAAGGAAACATGACCCAGACAGCACAGGGGAGGTCTTCTGGCACGGCCCCAGACCTGGCTAGGTGACCTTGGAGAGAGCAGGACGCCTCTGTGAACCCACTGCTAGTGTGGGCATGAAAACAGGAAGGTAAGTCCTGGTGAGCTTGTGGTGGAGGAAATGAATCAAACTCGCCAGGCCCGTTAGACCTCTCCCTGAGCGAATGGGTGTGGGTAACCTCAGGACCTGGAAGCAGAAACTCCGTACCTGTCCACCCCCAGGACCCAGGGAGCCAGGCCCAAAGCAGCCTGCTGCCAACCACCAATTGAAGTGAGAGAAGCTTCAAGGCCTGAGTCACCTGGAGCCTGGCCCAGGGAGGGAGGCAGGCTGCCCCAGTGTGGCTTACCCAGCCTTGTCCAAGGTCAACTCAGACAGCCTCCTGCCTTAAGAAGGCCTGTTCCTGAAGGCTATGGCCTGCTCTGCGCTAGGGGGTTAGACAGTCTGAGGACCAGAGGGGCTGGGCTCACAGCCGACCCCAGGAAGGTCATGTGACTTGGGAAAAACAATTTCAGGTTCCTGAACCTCAGCTTCCTCGCTGGCAGAAGCAGTGTGTGCATGGAGGAATGCCGGGGTGGGACTTCTGAGGAAGTCCCTGCTGGGTCAGGCTGGGGTGGTCTGGTCACAGACCTTGGGTACCCCATGCTATACTTGCTTCCTGAGTAAATCCTGTGGCTCTAAGTACTTTCAGCCAGCTGCATGCTGGCTTCTGCTCTTGAATTTCCTACAGACATTCCCTCCACTCCACACCTATACAACCTACTATGGCCTCCACCAGGTACCCACCAGCACCTCTGACAGAGTGTGTCCGTCCAACCCAGACTGTGTCTACGTGCCAACTCTGCCCAACCAGCCTCATGGGTGAGGTCAAAGC